GCAATGCTTCTGAATCTAGCAGTAATCAAGAAAACAACGAAAAAGTCAAGGAACCACATAACACATCTCAAACACACACACTAAAATCACTTTATTCAACCAGCTAAGTTTGATAGCAGCTGTTTTTAAGTGTCCAGAATCTTGTTTATTTGCTTATCAAATCCAGAACCTTTCATTTCTGTATTTTCTAATCACTATGCATCAGTCATAATACTTAATTTGGAATTGAAAACCTTTCATGTATACAGTTAACATTCAATACCTGCTCACCTTTAATGTTTGTTTGAAGTTAAGCACAAAGCTACACAATAGTCTATGTGTGTTCTGCCCACTACGGGTATCGAAACCCGGTTTCTAGCGTTGTAAGTCCTTAGACTATCGCTGTGTCACGATATTATTATTGTGTATTTTTTGCATTTGTTTATTCAAAATTTATTTTAATATTATTTAATGTAGTTGTGAGATATTTTATTTTGTGTGTATATTCACTGTTAAAGTGTATTTGTAATATTCATGCATTCATTATTATAAATGTTTACTTTGTTAAAGGGAATTTCAAGGCTTCTTGAAGTGTTTAATGTACATTAAAAAGCTAAAGGGTTTGTTCAATGTGCTTGTCTATTAGATGCACAAACGTTCAGCTTGATGTATTGTAAGATATCTGGTTTTGTATTTTAGATTTTAAGTTAATTACTTGTTTTGTGTGATAATGTTATTTTCTGCTGCACGAGTGCATGAATATATCAATACCGTTTTTAAAAGTTTTTCTTTTTTCTTTTATGTACTTAATTTGGTATTACCAGTATTTTTTACATTACTTGTTGAAAGTTTCATTTCCACTGTCAAGGTTGGGTGTAATATAATAACGTGTGTCCACCAAAGGTGTAATATAATAACATGTGTCCACCAAAGGTGTTAGCTAACAACACGTGTCCACCAAGGGTGTAATATAATAACATGTGTCCACCAAGGGTGTAATAACAACAGTTGTTCAACAGAGTGTGAATTAATAACACGTGTCCACCAAAGGCATAAACTAGCAAACGTGTATACCAAGGGTGTCAGCTAACAACACGTGTCTACCAAGGGTGTAAACTAATAATACGTGTCAACCAAGGGTGTAAACTAATAATACGTTTCAACCAAGGATGTAAACTAATAACACATGTCCACCCAGGATGTAAATTAACAACACAAATCCAACAAGTGTGGAAGTTAATAAGTTCGCAAAAGAATTAAAAGCCTCACCTATTTAATAGCTACGATGAACTTACATTAACTGACCTATTTTAGTAGCTATGATGAACTTACATTAACTGTCTATTTAGTAGCTACCATGAACTTACATTAACTGACCTATTTAATAGCTACCGTAAACTTACATTAACTAACCTATTTAGTAGCTATCATGAACTTACATTAACTGACCTATTTAATAGCTACCGTAAACTTACATTAACTAACCTATTTAGTAGCTATCATGAACTTACATTAACTGACCTATTGTCGAAACATTGTACATTTGCTGTTATGTTAAACTTATATTAAAGTTTTTCTTCATTACCCATTCAAGCCGTCTTCAACCGTTATTAGTCTCAAAGTGGGTTCCTCATCATCGAATATTCTGTAGTGTAAAGAAGTTTTGTACATACATTTGACTTATTTTGAATATATTATTTTCAAACAAATGGATTGTGTGCTGTCCGTTTATTGTTCGAATTTATCGCCAACAAGTCACAGACACCTACTGCAGAAGAATCTCAACCTAATCATATACAAATTGGTGGACACATGTTATTATATTACACCTTTAGTAGATTTTACTTGCTCGTTTATTTCCTTATTGGACACTACTCGGACGTCGAATCCAGGTACATATTATGGCCGTACTAAGACCTTTATCATGATGAGGATGTCAAGATGACATTCCAAGTCATTTTTTAAGTGACCCGTGTTTTATGAGATTGTTATATGCTACGACCTATATTTTGATGAGTATTAAGGTATGTATGTCTGCGGACTTATAACGCTAGAAAGCGGGTTTTGATACCCGTGGTGGGCAGAGCACAGATAGCCCATTGTGTAGCTTTGTGCTTAATTTCAAACAAACAAACCCCCCCCAGGAACCAAGGGGTGTATTTTCCCTGCAATTTGTTGAATATTAAAAGTAAGTTCAATTCGGAAAATCCCAAAGAGGGTGGTTTGGGTCGTAATATTTTCGAGACAACTTCGAGACAAGTTTTCGTTTATTAATTGACAATTTTTTTACAGCATCCTCAAGTCTCCATACTAACTAGTACTAAAGTCTACCCGCTGGGAGTAAATTCAGCATATATCAATAAAGCCACATTCTTAGCTTTTATGCTTCTGCTATCACCTTTTTATGTTTAACTTTCAATTGAGATACGAACTATCTCACCTGCGATTCGGTAGAGAAGGTCGAAGCATCACGATAGTCAGCAGTGGGATGAGCAGACAGGAACACTTTGAAAGCAGCTACAGGCATAATATTCGTGCACAGTATCTACTAAGGTGGTTCTAAACGGTTCCTTAATACCTCTGCGTGTCATTTGGAAACTTCCATGCTTCTTATGCTTGACCATTAAGCTCATGATGCACTGACGGATTTCAGTCACCTGACCACTTCAAATCACTTTTCCCAGCCCCAATGCTAAAAGAGAAAAGGGAAATGCCTTCTTTTAGCTAATAATCATATCCAAAAAATTTCAGTTCAAATTAATAAAAACCGCATTGGGTACTTTTTTGTTTTTAAACATAAATGCGCCCCCACTGGCTCTTGAGGGGCATGTTAAATACAAAACAAAATTTTACAGTTGCTGGCGAGGCCAGACTTTAACTGAAAAGGGGATTTATATTTTTCAAATATGGTTCGTGAAAGAGACAGTGTGACAGGTTGAAAGTCACCTTTAGGCATGTAGAACACGTATGAGTAAACTACTGCAAGACTCGGCAGCCTTCAGATTTATGCTAGTGCTAGGCCTTGGATACTTGTTGGAATATGAACTAAAACCCAACTTCTTTTCTTCAAACCAAGTTAAATAAAGATAAGGTTTTTCAACCGATCTCTAGATTTCGGAACTTTAATCAGGTAAAAACGTTTTCCCATCACATACCTTGTCTAGGATTTTAAGAACGTGATGTTGGCAAGAGGGTAGAGTTTGAGAGAAATAAATTTTACTTCATACTACCATTTATTTGCTTTCAGAAAGTAAACTTATCCACTGAGGGTATAAACTAAGAAGTAAAGCCCTTTAAGGATGGAGAGCAAGAAGTAAAATGCTTTAAGGGTGAAGACTAACAAAGAAAACCCACTAAGAGTGTACATTAACAAATAAAGTCGAGTAAGACTGTGTACTAACAAACAAAGAAAACCCACTAAGAGTGTACATTAACAAATAAAGTCGAGTAAGACTGTGTACTAACAAACAAAGAAAAAACTATTTTATAGCCCCACGACTTTCTTGGTTACAGGATTCTTAATAACATATGAATCGCATAAAAAAAATACCGCTAATTACTGCTGCGGTATCCGATATCTTTTAAAATAAAAATTAGTGATTTCACCGAATTTTGTTTCGGTTACTTGTTTACACTGAATGTTTTACCAGTTACAACCAAAGAATGACTCTATATGATGTAATATGTGGACCCCACCAGTGATGAATGGTACACAAACAAATCAGTAGTTTTAGGGTCAATTTGATCCTCTTACAACGGAACAAATACCCCTTTTCTGGTGAGGTCAAAGGTCGGTACCGAGTGTCCAGGTGCATAATAAGCTTAGTTTTGAACATGATAGGAATTTCGGTATAGATCTGGAATCTCGAACCTCGGGGTAAAGGTAAGTAAGCAAAATCCGAAAACCACAGACAGCTGGGGAGTAAGTAGGCAAACCCAAGTTGGTTGGGATCTATAAATCCCAGTATCCATCAATTTTAATGTGGAAGGAAAACGGGAGTACCCCAAAAAATTTTGATCGTAACACTAAGTTTGTTCTTAGGCTTTAACATGTCTGTCATTCACTGAAAAGAAGTAATTTCTACGTCTTTCCGATATTTTAACTAAGCATGTTAACGAGTTTCAAGTGAAGGCTTCAAAAAATCAAAGTGCTTGTCCACGATATTTCATTGACTGAAAGATATGTAGAACAACTTCTGTCGTTTGGAAGGGAAATCGGCTACTTCCTGAACAAAGCTTTGTTGTTCTGAATAAAAACAAAACAAAACACTTCCTCAACATTACAAGAGGTTTGGGGAATCATAAAGTAGAACTTACATGAAAAAATATCGTTACCAATGTTGTCGAAGCCCTCTATAACTATAAGGCTGGCGAATTTGCTTTTATGTTATTGATAATAAAACTTATAAAAACGTGAACTGCAAACCCTGGAGTTTCCATTATTTAAAGGTTTTAAAACTTAGAAAATGTTTATTATCTGATAAGCCTCAAATTACGGGGATCCAAAATAATTATTAGGGACAATTACCCCTCGTGTCCCTCATAGCTGCATGGAAATTAGTTTTTTCTTCCCTAAAATATTTTTCTAACATTCACTTCAAGAGCTGTTGCAAAGTTAAAATTTGAAACTATTTCCCCAGTTTAGCACAATAAAATATGCTTTACACCTTATCGCTTACACTGCTATAATAATTACACTAAGTTTCCCTCTATCAAATGATGTTCTAAGTTATAACACTAATTACAACAGTAAGTTTGTGCTACGTACTTCCTTACCTTTTCTTGCACAAGACAGCTAAACAACTTCGTACCACTGGCGCTTGTTTTGATTCATTCTCACCACAAAGAGAACTTTCCGAGTTACATTCTGGACGAGAAGATTACAGACCACCAGTTTTATCACTGAAGGATAGACGTTTTACAGGAAATGTTCTTGCCAGCCAACACTTTCACTTGCACACTTCGTTCCCAACACACACAATGCCTGTCAGCTGTGTAGAAACGGGGCTCTTCTGGCACGATGATCGGAATCTGTTCAGGTACGTAAGTAACTTGCTCCAGGGCGCATGCGCCTCTTAATTAAGGTTTGTTTTTTTTTTTACTGGCATAGTTCTATCAGTCATTGGTAGAAATTTGTTCAAAGACCACCAGGACGCAGTTGCAATTTACAAGTTGAAACTTTTACTACTTGGACTCTAAGTTATTGGTGTAAGGAATATTTTGCAGTTAGAAGTAGCGATATTTTCAAAGTTAAGGCAGTCATCAGATCATTTAAGGCCTCCATAGGTGCTCAGCATGAAATAACAACTCGTTGCAGCGCTTATAAGTTGTTTCCAATATTTTCAAAGTTAAGACAGTCATGCGATCATTTAAGGCCTCCATAAGTGCCCAGCACGAAATAGCAACTCGTGGCAGCGCTTATAAGTTGTTTCCAAACCTGGTCATCCAAGGATAAATCCGGTGCTAATCTTCAAGGCTGAAGTGAAGAGGGTGGCCTTGCGCATTTTAATAATAAAACAAAAGCTGTTATTTAATTGTTATTTCACCTCAATAATAACACAACAACAACAACAAAAAAACTCAAGTCAAAGCAGGCGCGTTGGTCAAGTCTGTCGCATGCTTTAATCTTTACAACAAATAAATTCCTGAATTACACTTTAAAAGAAAAAAAAATGATCGCTTTTTCCTAAGAAAACTTGACTACTGAAGGAATGCTGGTAAAATTGATAACAATACAACAGGTTTGTATAATGCTTGCTTTGGTGAGAGTGTTTAAAGTGCCAAGGGCTTCATTTATAAGGGAACGCTGGCCCGGCACTCGACTCGCAATCTGAGGGTCGCAGGTTCGAATCCCCGTCCCACCAAACATGCTCGCCCTTTCAGCCGCGGGGGCGTTATAATGTGAGGTAAGTCCCACTATTCTTTGGTAAAAGAGTAGCCCAAGAGTTGGCGGTGGGTGGTGATGACTAGTTGCCTTCTCTCTAGTCTTACACTGCTAAATTAGGGACGGCTAGCGCAGATAGCCCTCGTGTAGCTTTGCGCGAAATTCAAAAACATGGGAACGCTAAACCTAAAATTATCGTTGGGTTTGGATCCCATCGGCTTTTTTTAAACACATTTTTAAACTGTTTATGGACCCTTTCGTTATGAAATAACATACATCGTAATTATCTTAACGAATATAAATAAATATAACATAACTGGCATTTACCACAATAAATAAGTTTTTTTTTTAAACAGGAAATCGACCCTTTATGATCTTAAGGTAACGATTGTCATACAGTTTACATGTATTTAGGTATATTTAAAAACAGAAAACAGAAGTAATGGGTTGCTGAAAACTAAATTGAATTACAAACTGTTTTCCTAGAGGCAGAAGGATGTAGATGTAGGTCATCCCTGCCTCCTCTTCCTAGGCAGAAGGTTGTAGATGTAGGTCATCTCTGCCTCCTCTTCCTAGGCAGAAGGATGTAGATGTAGGTCATCTCTGCCTCCTCTTCCTAGGCAGAAGGATGTAGATGGAGGTCATCTCTGCCTCCTCTTCCTAGAGGCAGAAGGATGTAGATGTAGATCATCTCTGCCTCCTCTTCCTAGGCAGAAGGATGTAGATGTAGATCATCTCTGCCCCCTCTTCTTAGGCAGAAGGATGTAGATGTAGGTAATCTCTGCCTCCTCTTCCTAGGCAGAAGGATGTAGATGTAGGTCATCTCTGCCTCCTCTTCCTAGGCAGAAGGATGTAGATGGAGGTCATCTCTGCCTCCTCTTCCTAGAGGCAGAAGGATGTAGATGTAGGTCATCTCTGCCTCCTCTTCCTTG